TTCCTGTCAGGTAAACTTCCTGTGCTGTTCGCACTGGACTAATTATGGTAAAACTATCCAACGTGTTGGTTAGTATTACCAAAAAAAGTCCAGTGCGATTGTGGCTTAATACTCACGAAATTACTGTTTTTTTTCAATCGTGTTCCGGGGTCAAACTCGTGTCAAGTTTGATATCGTTGGAAAGCTTAGAATGTCAGCTACAATTTTGATTGGTCAGTTCATCCTCACAAATTATTTAACCAATCAAAACAGTCGTTTTGGTACTGTAAACAATTCGGAAGCGGCCTAGCAACAAACGGAAACACGCATGCTGATTGGTCTAATCCAGTCAGCTGACCATTTTTGGGGCGTGTCTAAGACCCCGTCGCTTGGGTTTTCGATGGAAGCGTCGGCAAGGTAGTAGTGCGCATTACATGTTTTCATCGAAGCTCGAAGTTACTTGTTTACTGCTGCAATAATTATAAAACAATAATACTGTTTCTTTTACACAAGAAAATTCGGTAGTACAGGTACATGAAAAATGGGCTATACTGAACACAGACTTGATAAAGTTGACGACGAATAAAACGCGTTCTGTAATAGTTTAACGCACTGGTTTGAAGGTCGCAGTGTTCGATTTCCGGTTGTTTACAGTAAAAACGACCATCACATTTGAATCAGTAATATCACATTTATTAATGAATGTAAGTACATGAAACTTGGTACAGCTATAAAATACATTATGTACAATGTTTCTGCGAAATTTCATTTCAATCGGTCAATGGTAACACCTCCGTTGTTAAGAAAGTATCGAAGACACCGAACACATGTGAGTGAGCTACACGCTGAGCGCACTGCCAGCGACTGGGCGTTATAAACATCAGTTTTATCGCCGTTTCTTCAAAACAGTAACTGCTAACCTCGCGCTATATAAATCGGTATAACTTTAGAACTAAGTATCAGAATTGAATATTTTTTTCACTGTTTTATTTATTATAATGTAAATATTCAGTTGATGGTGTTAAATAAAAATTGGTTTTTCCGACTTCCGACCGTTTTTGCTTGACATCGCCACATATGGTTATGATGTGATGTCATCACTTTAAGCAGGAGAGGATCTTATTATTAATTAGAGCAGGGATGACATGTTGCAAGGGGATAGTTAAGTCCTGTCCAGACTATCAAATTTGATTTGATAAAAACATGTGACATGCCTAAAAATGATCATGATGACATCATACTGTGACCATATATAGGTACATCATGACTGTATATGGGCACACAACATTTTAAATAAATAAATGACATCACATCATGACTATATAAGGCACATCATGAATATATGGGTACAACAGTTTTTGATAGTTTGGAGAGGGCTTAAGTTGGGGTGATGGTTACGGCATTGCACACCAGTCTGCAAGGGGTCAATTAGGAAACGGGGCATTATTTTCTTCCTAATTCGCATGAACGGTCATGCTAACAGGCCCACCAAATGTGACTAACTGAGCCCAGTCATAGGTTAGTTTCGTTCAAGAGAGTTTATTTTTTTCTGAGGTAGTGTAGGGTGTTTGAAACTACAGCAATTGCATGGTTGTTGAAACTTTTCTTTCAAACTAGAGTGTTCGTCCCCTTGAGTTGTTCAACAAGGGACTAGTCTTGAAATTCCATTCCACCTGGCACAAGGAACAGAACGGAATTGAAAACTTTCCTCCATCAAAGATACAAAATGGCAACCATCGAATGGATACGGAAGATGATGAAGAGGAAATAGCAGGTAACATTTAAATTTGTTATTGTCTTCTTTTGTTAAATGTAAATATTTTAGTACAAAAAAGTATCTAGCCAAATAGTATAGGAATGTATTATTTATACTTCTGTTAATTGCCAAAGAAAATATTTTCCCATTTTCCAATTAAATTATAAATAATTAATAAAAAAGAGTACACCATATAGACAGTACATCACAGGGGCGGATTGTGGTGCGTGGTGTGGAAATGAGGAAAATGGCCCCATAAACAAAAAAGAGAGAAGAAATGAAAAGAAATAAGAAAGAGGAGAACTTGGTACTTTCAAATAAGCTAATTTTTGATCTAAATTCTATGTACCCTAGCCTCCCCCCCCCCACACTCGCATGGTCCCTACCATGGGAGTGGTGGTTAACCTTCATATATTTTATTTGTGCAACTATATGTTTGAAAACAATATTTACCAATGCTTTATACAGAGATCAAGAATAAGGAAGCAGTAGTAGAGAAACTAGGCAAAGACCTGAAGAGGGTGTCTGAAAAGAAGAGGCATCGGGTCTTTTACCAATTCTTATACAACAACAATACAAAGCAGCAGACAGAAGCTAGGGAGGACATGCACTGCCCATGGTGTTCCCTCAATTGCATGGAACTCTATGGACTTCTGAAGCATCTCACTCTTTGCCATAGTCGTTTCAACTTCACATATATTGTAAGTTCAAAACTAAAGCTCTTTCCAAACTTTTACTAACATCCAGCATTTTATTTCACTTCAATTTTTGTTTCACAAATTGAATTATATATTGTAATAATAATAATTTATTCATTTATATTGTGAAAATTCTATAAAAATATGTTCACTTTTGCATTACAATAAAATAGGCAAGAATACAAGTTTACAATACAAAAGAGGAAGTTAAAATTAGGGGGAGCTAAAATTCTGGGAAGTTAAAATTCAATCTAACTAACATTAACATTTATTAAAAATATATAAAAAAGTAAGATGTTAAACTATTTGATGTTCATTTTAGAATTCCAAAGCAACTTTCACAATTGAATTATCAGACATTACATAACTTAATATAAACAGATTTATGCATGAATTCAACAAGCTTACCTTCCCTCTACCATTGGTCTTTATGTAAAACTGATTAAAGATATAGATGACACATAACTTGATTGAATACTTTTTTTTCTTTAAAATAAGCCCTGTGAGCCAAACACACGTATAGATGTGACATTAAATGAGCACTTCGATGGGTCATATGCCGGTAATCCACAGAATCTTACCTCACATACGGGCTACGCCTTCAGTCGCAATGGACCTTGCCGCAGGACTCCTGTAACTCAAGTACTTGTTATGCGGTAAGCTCTTTCATTTACCTGTTTTTAGTAAATGAATGGATCCGTTGATACACAGGTTTGTCAAAAAGAAAAAATCCAAAGTGTGAACTCATTTTGAAGATTCCTGCTGTTTAAATGCAGTAGCATGTTTTTGGTTCCTAAGATATATACAATTCTTTTATTCAATAAATAAAAAAAAAATGTATTAAGTACAGTAGAACCCCTCATTTACGTACGGCACGGGTCCAGAGCCGTTCGTAAATGCGGGTATTTGTAAAATCGGGGTTGACCCAAATTCCTATATATTTGCACTGGTACTACTTACACTGGCATAAACTAGGCCCAGGCTAGGCCTACAGGCTTACGCAGCTAAGTTTGAGGGGGCCTAGGCCTACAGTAGGCAGCTTGTAAGCATTCTGATCCCACTCTAGGCCCTACACAAGTTTGTTTTTATTGGACATTTTTACCTTCTTAAATACCTAGATTGTGGATTTTACTCCAACACAATGTCCATAAATACTTGTTTATACTTGTTTATTATATATATTGATCATTCAATAAAACAATCAAGCACTATGTTGAGAATATGAGAATTACATAGTACTGTATAGTATGGTGTGTTGTGTTGTATGCATGCTAATAACAGTCGAGCAGGATTTTTTTTTTTTTAATCTTTCGCTTAAATTTTTATGACGTCATCACCTTTATTTTACGTTCGTAAAATCGGGAATTCGTTAAATCGGGGTTCGTAAATAAGGGTTTCTACTGTACTAAGTAGTAACACCGAGTACCAAGTGGTAACAGATGTACCAAGTGGTAACAGAAGTCCTAAGTAGTAACACCAACTACCAAGCGATAACAGGAGTACAAAGTACATGATTGTAGTAACATCAAATAACATTGTGTAACAAAAGTACTAAGTAGTAACAAGAAGTACCAAATGTTAATGGAAGTACCAAGTAGTAGCACCAAATACCAACTGGTAACAACAGTACAAAGTAGTAGCACCAAGTACCAAGTGGTAGCTGAAGTACTAAGTAGTAACACCAAGTACCAAGCGATAACAGAAGTACAAGGTACATGATTGTAGTATCATCAAATAACATGGTGTAACAAAAGTACTAAGTAGTAACAAGAAGTACCAAATGTTAATGGAATTATCAAGTAGTAGCATCAAATACCAACTGGTAACAACAGTACTAAGTAGTAGCACCAAGTACCAAGTAGTAGCAGAAGTACTAAGTAGTAGCACCAAGTACCAGGTGCTAACTTAAATACAAAGTAGCAACACCATGTACCAGGTGGTAACAGAAGTACTGTAGCACTTAGTACCAATTGGTAACAGAAGTTCTAAACAGTAGCACAAGTACCAGGTGCTAACTGAAATACTAAGTAACACCAAATACTAACTGGTAACAAAAGTACTAAGTAGTAGCACCAAGTACCAGGTGCTAACTGAAATACTAAGTAACTACACAAATACCAGCTGGTAACAAAAGTACTAAGTAGCAGCACCAAGTATTAGGTGCTAACTTAAATACAAAGTTGCAACACCATGTACCAGGTGGTAACAGAAGTACTGTAGCACCAAGTACCAATTGGTAACAGAAGTACTGAACAGTAGCACCAAGTACCAGGTGCTAACTGAAATACTAAGCAACACCAAGTACCAAGTGGTAACAGATGTACCAATAGTATCACAAAGTACTAATAACAAAGTACGAAGTAGTGCCATAATGCCATACCAAATACTTATAGTAGTAATGTTACAAGAACCAAGTGCTGTAAACCACTTGGCTTATAAAATTAAGTAAGTACATATTTCTTTGGATAATGAGTAATGTACTTCATTTCTTTACTATTCTAGATACCAAAGAAAACCACCAAGCCTCAATGAATTCTTGGATGGTGAAGATAGAGACCTTGTAAGTCATCGACCACTTGTGTCAGGTCATAATAGGTAAGTCAGGAATATTAAATCAAATGTTTTTTAATTAATAAATTATGCTGTATTTAATGTCTAATAACTTTTTCTAAAATACGTTCCTATTTTCATATTTCTACTACTATTCTCCAACACTACTGCAGTAGCTCTATCTTGTTTCAATAATGTTATCTTGATTGCCAACCCCTGATTTTGGCCGTACTAAGCCATAAAAACTCTCCAGTGAACGGTACTAGGGATTAAAGTCATGGAGAGATTTTGTTGACTAAAATTTATTATTATTATTATTATCATTACTATTATTATTATTATTATTATTGTTATTATTATTATTAAATATTAAATAAATTTAGTGTAAGATGTGATTTGTGAACATTTGAAATCTTTCAGAGTTTACCACCATACTCACACTTTACATCACACCTTACCACCTTATTATTATTATTATTATTAATATTATTATCGTTATCATTGCTATTATTATTATTATTGTTATTAAATACTAAATAAATTTAGTGTAAGATGTGATTTGTGAACATTTGAAATCTTTCAGAGTTTACCACCATACTCACACCTTACAGCCTCTAACACCACAAGAAATGGACATAGACAGTGAGGATGAAATTGACCCCTCCTGGCTAAAAGAAAGAACGAGTATGGTAAGTACAATAAAATCAATTAATCAATCATATTTTATTGTCATTTTTCAGGAGAACAGAAATTTGTTTTGCTCTGTTGGTAGAACCGAGGCCAAAAGGCAGAACAAATGCAAACAATGAAACAGAGTGCAAAAATAACAATTTACCTACAATTTAGAGCCCTAAGCTCTAGGGAAGAAGCTATTTCTAAATCTGGCCTTACTGGCTTTTAATGATCGAAAACGTTGACCGCTGCGCATCAGGTGGAACAGACTTGAGGCAGGATGAGTTTGGTCGTCCTTAATAGCCTCTGCCTTTTTAAGAAGCCAATCACAGAAAATGGTCTCCAGAGGCATTTGTGCCAAACCAATGATACGCGTTACAATCCTGATGATTCTGTTAAGGGCATATATGTCGTTTTCGGTAGCGCCCCGTACCACACGGTTATAGATAATGTTAGGATGCTTTCAATTACTGATCTGTAAAATGACATCATTATAGTCGGATGCATTCAAAACGATTTAAGCCTACGCAAAATATAAATTCTTTTCTGTGCCCTTTTCACAATTGTCTGCACATTATATTGCCACTTCATATCATTGGATATATAATATATAAATACCGAGGATTTTGATAATAATATTATAGAGTAACAACATAATAGCTGTCTCTTATACACATCTAGATGTGTATAAGAGACAGTATACACACACACACATACATACATATGCTGATGAATGTAGCAGGTGCTACCGAAAATTTCATACAAATAAAATTCAATGCCTCAATCAAGTCAAAGTGTCAGTACTTTCATGTCTGTCAACCATTCTATAGCCAAGGCATACGTGGAATAGCATCAATTGCATCAATAATTCTGATCACTATGTATTTATATATATGTATATATGTATATATATATATATATATATGTATATATATATGTATATATATATATATATATTGTACTTTAATATTTTGACATAACAAAATTCTTTAAAGCGCTATGTCCACACTGTAAAATTTTATGTACAGTATCTAATTTGTGTTATGTTCCCATATACTTCATCATCCTACATTGTAAAAGAATTTTAGCCTATTCTTTTTATATATTGTTTTAGATGATTGATGAATTTACTGATGTTAATGAAGGTGAAAAAGAACTTATGAAATTATGGAATGTGCATGTTCTGAAAAATAAGTAAGTTTTTTTCATTTTTTTTCATAATCTCAATTGTTTAAAAAAAAGTGTTTTCCTAACTGTTTTTGTTGTTCATTGGCTTACTGTATTATTTTATGTTTGCTTATTTTTACTACTATTAATATTATTGAATATATATATATTATATTTTATTAAGGGTAATCTCAAGACAAGTTATGTTTTTAAAAACTGCTTGGAATAATCTAAATCTATTTAATTTTGTAAATTTCCATATAGTTTGAAAAAAAAAAACCCAGAAAAACTTTTGTTACGTTTGCTTGATGGATTTAATTGAATAAATGTTGAAATGAAATTAAGATATCTTGACATATGCCACATGAGGACAGCATAGGTAAACTGGTGATAGCCACTGACTGTGTGCTAGACCATGCAGATCTTCAGATACATGGTTCCAGGTTCCATAGCTGCTGCTCTTGTATTTCAGCTGTGAAGTGAAGTTTTCAATAGTGCACCATCTTTCGGGAAAAAAAGATGGTTTAAGCAGTTGGGTCATTTTGTAATATGACCTATGCAGCGTTCTCTATAAAAATATAAAAGGATGTCTTCTGGTGTATTGCCCAGTTCACCACCAGAGTTTCCCACTCTATTTTAATCTCTTTGGACTTTGTGGGTAATTCTTTTGCATTTTTTAAAATGAAGGTTTCATGCTGCTTAACCAATTTAAAAACTGTCTAGACATATCTGTTTTCAATCTCCAAAGATACAGATACTAATTATTAAAATATTATACAGTAGTTTAAGAATACAGTACGGATATTGGTTCCAGGGCCTCATCAACTCATTTTGTTTGGCTCAATTTTTTTCTAGTTTTATGGCAGACAGCCTGATACCAAGGGCGTGCAGGTTGTTTGTCAAAGAGCACGGAGAGGAATTGATTGAGCGCGGTCTCAGGAATAACTTCCTTCTGCACATGGTGAGCCTATTTGACTTTAGCCTCATCCAACCATCACTCATCACAAGCATTATGGCTGAGCTGAATAAGGTTGGAAATGCTGCCAAAGAATGTACTAAACATACACAGCAATTAACTGTTGAACCCGAGACTCCGGGGCCGAGTGAGGCCCCAATGGAAGTCTCTGCTGTGAACTAAGTTGCTAGTGAAGCACCTGTATGCAAATTATGTTTACATTATAAGACGTTGCCTTGGATATTGATCAAATGGTGCTGATAACGATACACTATATGCTGCTAAACTATTTTGTGAGCATCTGAACTAGATGCACACGACAACCATGCTGGTCAGGAAATTTATGACCTTAGAGGTCAGAATGTCTTAAAACTAATTCCCTGAGACATTAAGTCTAGCTGGGCTTGACTGTTATTCAATATTTTGCAAGCTATTTTGCCAATTTATATTCATTTTTAAGAATGAAAATGTTGATTAGTTGATTAATATTTTTTATTATGATTGTTGAATATCAATACAACATATAAAAGAAGACTAAGAGTGTAGCACAGCTAAACAGACTTGCTACATCTTTACTATAACTTAACTGCTGTACTACAATAGGACAAATCCACGAAGATAAAAAAAATATCTAGGAAAAATCTCAATTTAATTACGACGAAGACGGATTTGAACTTATATAGTAAGACAATATTAATGACAAAGACAAACGATCAATGGAAGAAATTATTGACATCTTCTGATAAGTTAAGGAGAAAGGGCTTATTTTAATTTAAGAGGAAGATTATTCTGAAGAATAAAGCCTAGAAAACCAATTCTAATTCGACATGAAAATGACATGAAGATGGGTAAATTGAAAGGGTTTGTCAATTCTTGAATTATATTCATGATAAGTAATTTCAAAATGTATTATTAGTTTAAATGGTAAGTAATCTAATCTATTATTAAAATAAGAAATAAATTTTGAAATACCTAATGTATAAAGCTTGGATGCTTCTAAATTTTAAGAGATTAAAATAATGATCTCAGAATTGAGTAAAGCCCTGTTGTCCAGACTATAACATTTTCTTTCACAAAAACATGTGGCATGCCGAAACATAGTCATGATGACATCACATCATGACCATATATAGGCACATTATGACCATATATGGGCACATCGTGACCATATATAGGCACATCATGACTATATATGGGCACATCATGACCATATATGGGCACATCATGACCATATATAGGCACATCGTGACTATATATGGGCACATCATGACTATATATGGGCACATCATGACCATATATGGACACATCATGACAATATATAGGCACATCGTGACTATATATGGGCACATCATGACCATATATGGGCACATCATGACCATATATGGGCAACATCGTGACTATATGGGCACATCATGACTATATATGGGCACATCATGACTATATATGGGCATAGTTTTTGATAGTGTGGACAGAGCTTTACTAAAAGTGTTTTAAGTAAGTTTTTTAAGATATTCTCTCAATTTACTTCAACAAATTTGGGTTGGTATTTTTCTGATTTTCGTAAGTGACACTCCAATTTATATAGTTAATAATTTTTAAAAATTCTATTATTTTTTCAGGCTCATGTGAAAAAGATTCTGACCGCGATAAACATGTAGCATCAACAAATGAATTATAATGTATGAATAGTAGGCTAGTAGTTTTCCAGAATTTATTTTCATGCGCTTTTTGTAAATAAACAGAAAAGGCGAAACAATATTTTTACTCAATTAAATGTATAGTAATCAGGATGATTGAATTAATTAGATTCTTTGAACTTATTTGTCAAATTGCTAAATTTAACAAATTATGCGAGTTGTTTAAACCATAGACATTATATACGCAGTGGCCATGTTTAATGTATGGCACGCCAGCTCAGAACTATCCAAAGAACTATGTTTAAAAGTAAGTGCACAAAAATCCTTCATACTTATTTAACTTTGCTTAGTATTCCGAAGGTTTTCAGCCACTAATAAAAACTCCGTCCACTTCAGTATTGTGACTAAAAATATGTGGGTCTATTTTTGGTCAAAGAACCATTTTAAATATATTTAAATGAAGGTTTAAAGGCAAAACACATGACTTTTCTTACCTGAACATTATATATTCTGATCTTGTGCCTAGTTGGAATAAAATCGCTACACAGTGTCGGGGACGCTGATTGGTGAGTGGAATTGGGAAACCTTTCTGATTGCGTCGGGAAAAGCTATGCAGTGCAACAGCTGCAGTGAAAAATCTGTAGCAACAGTGTAGCGATTTTATGTAATCCAGGCTTTAATGTTCTCCCTAATTTGGTTTGTCAAAAAAAAAAAATGTTTGTTGTAAGAGGTTGCTGCTGTCAATATCGTCTCTCGCCACTCGACTTATGTCCAGTTTCTGTTTTATGGTAGCAGTTAAAGGTCACCCAAAGAGATGTTACCTGCAGGTGATCATTAGAAATGCTTGTCAAAAATACAAAATCCTGAGCTAAATCCCTATTCTGTGTTGTAAGAATTTTTTGTACTATAAATGTTTTTACTTGTTTAAAAGGGGCCAATTATGCTTAGCTTATGCTAGATAGGGACCCTCAGGAAATGTTGAATAAACAAATAAATAATAATTTACTGTATCATGTAGCTTCTTGAGACTTGTTTGCAGAACATTTGCATTTGTGTATCTATTGAATTTTCCGAAGATTGGAAAAAAAAATTTGCTTCTTGTTTATGTTCGTGTGAACCACAAATGACAAGCACTTCTCTACTCATGAAAAACATAATCGTTATGATGTTTTATATACAGTACTCATTTTGTATTATCCCATAAATGTTTGAGATCCCCAAAGCATGGCCAACATACATTTTTCATCGGTAGATTATATTGTTTCGAATTTATGGACATTGTTTCTTTTACCAGTTTGATGTTCACTAACATCTGAATGTTTTTATTCGTGCACACCAAGCGCGGATCCAGACGTTGGCACTGTTCGCCATGGCGAATTTCAGGGTGAGAGATAAAAAATAAAATACAATACAGTACAGTATTAATATTATTCTGATACTGAATTGAAAATATCCATTATTCAATATGAATTTGTTTAATAACTTATTAACAGCTTATTTGGAATATGCGTGAGATTCTCTTCTCTTAAAAAGTGAACCACATAGCTTTTTCTTTGTTGAAAGTCTGAAATACAGAGTGCGATGACATTCGTCTGCTTAAAATATTTTGCCATATTTTTCGACCAGATGCTGGATAAGCTTATTTGTAAAAACAAATTAAAAAAAATATACACTCTCCACAAACCATTTTATGTCTGAAAGTGTTGTTTCCGCCAAGCATATGTGGTTATTTTAGACATTGTAATAATTTTATGTCTGAAAGTGTTATTTCTGCTGAGCGTCCATGGTTATTTTAGACATTAAAATAATATATCATCTTTTAGTAAATAGCTGTGTTCTTAGGAAGCTATATTTTCCGGTGTCACTTTGATATTTTTCCCTGCGCTACCAACATTATGTGCAAGAATGAAAAGCTCCTGACCGGTTATTAAAGTATATATTAAGAATAGTATCCTTAAATTTCAAAACATCTCATGACTTTAGTCGTGGGTGTTAGCAGACAACAGCTGTAGTTTATATTTAATTATTTGTTCTTTAGATTCGAAATTCCGTCATTGTCAACTTCAACGAAACGTGATATGATTTTTATTAGATTTTCTTTAAAATCAATGTTGAACAATAATCATATTGATACTTTGAAAATGTCCATTATTGTAAAGTCCAGATAAAAGTGTTTAAATTAATTTTCGTTACTGCATGGTAAATCTTTTGTTGTATTTGTATTTTTTTCTCCACGAAGTCAAGCAGATGTTTGAATGAACACAATTTGTTGATGAAGCACACATATTCTATATTGATTTAATTTGTTTTGAATTCCCATGTAAATTATAACATTATCTCGAATTCCTAGTAGTTTTTGATTAACAATATTGCTTCGCTCAAAATTTTTTTGGATTGTGCGTGGTATTTTAATATCTTAAGTGAACTACATAGCTTTTTTCAAGCCTGAAATTTCGAGTGCGATGATATTTGTTTGCTATAGCATATTTTTACCAATTTCGACCCAGGTTGGATATATTCATCCAACATTTGTTTTCTGTTTGACAGAACAACCACAAATTGCGCTCTCTCTGCTCACAACCCCGCCCTCTACCTGTCACCATTGTAAGTATGAAGCAGGCTCTGCAGGGGCGGATCCAGACTCAAGGACCATAGTCTATTCTATACTGGGAGTCGTAAAGCAAATTATGATTATGGCACCTCTAGATGCCTGGAAATGGCACTCATTCAGATTTAAAATTTTATCTCCATTTAAAAAAAAAGTTTACAAATGTAGGGGGTCCTGGCCAGCTGGGCACCATGCACCCCCACTGAATTAATATGATATATGTCCTACAGTCGATGTCAGGGACGCATTATGCTATTATGTATCAACAAAGCCCTTTTGGATCAGGGTGTTATAGACCAAGGGCCCTACTGGACTCTATGGGTAGGTGCATCAAAGGGGCACCTAAGGGTTGGTGGCCTTTGGAGCAAATTTTAAGAATAGGCCCCTCCAGACGCTCGGAAATGGCACTCTCAGACGGTGAAAATGCTTTTTCAAAGCAGTTTTACTCGACAAAATATTGAATATTTTATCTCCATTTAACAAAAAATGTTGACAAATTTTTTAGGCCACTGGCCGGCTAGACCCCACATCCCTGATCTACTGTTACATATAATACAGTACCGTACGGTACTATGAAGGTTTTATCCTTCAAATGAAAATCAAACATTTATTTCTTGGTCGTGGGTTCGCTATCCGTTTCTTTTTGGCATTGAGCAAATTACTGTAAACACGTTGTCTCTATCCACTAAGTGGAGACCTCAGGGTAAACTTACCTGGTACAGTAATACTAGAATTTATCTTCACTCGCGGTATATCTTTTATATCAAGAACGCTTCCAAGATATGCCTCTTGTAAGTGTTCTCATTGTTTAATTCCCATTCCGTATACTCTTAATATTTTGTAATACAGCATCCGATTTACTTTTCCTTGAGGTAATTTGAAATTTGTTTCAGGACTCTTGTTTATAACTGCATTGCCAAGGTAAGCAAAGGTAATCTTCAGTGCTTAGGATTGCACACACTTCAATAAAAAACATATCACGTTCTTTGGACTGGTATTTACTGAACAGTAATACCATTTTTATTATCATACTTGGACAATAAATACTATTTAGTGTAGATATAATATATTAATAAGTAATCAGTACCATGAATCAGGAAGTACAATACATTTAATAAATATATTAGACGATAAAATTGTCGAGATTTCGCAACTTTTCGTTAGATTTGCATACAAAAAATTACGAATACACGACTGCGAAAATAGATACAATCGTAATGAAATGTAATATGTTCGCTATAGTTCAGTGTCCTGTTTGGGGATAAAACAGAATTGAAATGTTGGAAAAAATGTTTTGAGACGGTTTTTTAAGGTGTTGAGAGAATGGAAATTTCCAAATTTAAGAAGCAGAAATTACATAGTCCCTTGGTTCTGAGTGTTTGACATGCTTTTGAGCTATTGTAAGTGTTCATTTCGTGTGTAAGAAAACCAATTTTAGAACTTTTGGGTCATCTTTGCTCAGCGTGGAACACTTATTAAGAAGAAATTAGCATCCTTGTTTTATAGTTTTGTAAATAGATAAATAAATACACCCTCTGTATGAAGCTGTTTTGTTTTTTATATAAAATGTATGAGTGTTCTGCTTTTATATCGACCATTTGGAAACGTTTGTATATTTTTTCGATGTTTTATACTATTTTTTTGCGAGATATGAAATGTTAGTTTAGTATAGGCCTCTTTCTATTATAAACGTAAGGTAGGTGTATACACATTGAATACTAAACACTTATTTTCACTGGAATTTTATTCTGGAGTGATGCATTCCGTTTTGGCCGGGACGGAATCTACGCATGCGCTGGGTGTTCCCGTTTCTGGATCATAATCAGGATTATACCATGTATTGATAGCACACTGTACGAGATGAGAGACTTCGTTATAACAAATAAAGAACTGTGAGCAATCATTCAAAATGACAGCATGGTATTGGTCTGGACGTCCAACACATACTAGAGGAAAGAAGGAAAAAATGACACTTAGTTGACATATTCTCAGACAGACACGAATTTGTTTCCTACGACTCTTGACAAAGGATAAATGTGTATCATATCTCAAATAGACTTCCGTTAATTATCTTGTAGTCGCTCCGAAATAAATACTCTACAATCGGAGTTTCCAGTTTTTATATGTGTCCTATTGTTAAGTGGTAACCGTCGTATTTTACGCTGAACCGCGAGGGTCTTTTTCTCTCTTTTCTGATCAATTCTATCGCTGCTCTTCTCGTGTTTCAGCTAGTTACAATTGTCAAGGAGGTATAAAACCTCCCTGCCATGGTACGATTATTCCACTGAATGTTGTACGACAAAGAATGCGCAATACATAGGCCTACTTAGAAATGACATACTACCCAAGTTATCACCAGAAGGACCCATCCGTTCCGGAACTACATGGGTTCTCCATAGTGTATTTCAAATAAAAAAAAACCTAGATATATAAGTCATAGTTACTTACATACGTCTTCAGCAATTTGAGTTGGCTGCTCAGTCGTTAATTGCGTCTGGCTACGACCCGATTCTGGATCACATATACGACCGCTTAATTCAGGCTCGACACAACCAGAACTGATGTCCAGCGTTGCTGCTCGTTCCTCTCCAACAAACCATAAACCTTCAACGCAGTCAACACTGATATTATCTCCGAAGACACAGAAGTAAAATGATCCACAATCATCGTCATTTTCGAACATCTTACCATGATTTTCAGGTAGTGCACACATATCTGTAGAAAATAATAATAATAGGACATGCCCATTGCTGCTGGTAGGCCTACTACTACTAATATTATTACTATTAATACTGACGATGATGATAGGTTTCGTTCTATCAAAATTTAAATGCTGTTTTCTTGGTGTTGTTTTCCCCTTGTTTGTATACGGCTTGTGTGGCCCCGGATTTTTATTGTTTTTCAATATTTGTAATATATTTGTATAGATTTATATATTTATGTACCGTGGAAATAAATAAATAAATAATGTTAACATTCGGTTTTAATACTTGCCTGGCATTTGTGTAGTTATAGGAAATGATTGACTGCACTCTCTTTCAACTGTTCCTTCAAGAGCACACGTTACCATGGTTCCGTCGTTTATTGCTAAAAACCAATTACCATTTGGACAACTGATTCGATTTAACTGGCGACTTTCACAAATATAGCCTGATTGACAGTCTTCCACATCATTATAGAAAATTCTTATATCGCGATCTTCTGCGTTGCATAAAGCCTCTGTTAAAATGAACATTAATGATCTTTAATTGTCTTCCAATTCTTAAAATGTATTCATAAGAAATTCCAATGGCCAATTCCATGAACAATGTAACAATAAAACTGCAGGAGATCGGAGTTTGATTCAACACATTTAGTTTTGTGCACACTTCCACTATTCTGGATAAACTGAGTATGAATTTACTAAAATAGAAGAGTAAATACTCGTTAATCGTTAACAACTACAGTAATTACTTCGTTTATAGCTTACCTAAAATTACAAATTCAGAAGAAAAACTCGATTCGGTTGATGTTAGAAAAAATGGAAGTTCTGTGGTTTCAATATGCCCCTCATAGTGGGTACCGGGCTTCGGTTCGTATTCATGTTTGGTCGTTGGTGCTTCAGTTGTCTCAGTGTGACCGTCGTAGTGAGTACCGGGTTTTGGTTCGTATTCATGTTTGGTTGTTGGTTCTTCAGTTGTTTCAGTGTGACCGTCGTAGTGAGTACCGGGTTTTGGTTCGTATTCATGTTTGGTTGTTGGTACTTCAGTTGTCTCAGTGTGACCGTCGTAGTGAGTACCGGGTTTTGGTTCGTATTCATGTTTAGTTGTTGGTTCTTCAGTTGTTTCAGTGTGACCGTCGTAGTGAGTACCGGGTTTTGGTTCGTATTCATGTTTGGTTGTTGGTGCTTCAGTTGTCTCAGTGTGACCCTCGTAGTGGGTACCGGGTTTTGGTTCGTATTCGTGTTTGGTTGTTGGTGCTTCGGTTGTCTCAGTGTGGCCCTCGTAGTGGGTACCGGGTTTTGGTTCGTATTCGTGTTTGGTCGTTGGTTGTTGACCATATCCGTTACATTCACGTTCAACAGTACCGGCGTATGGACAATAACTTCCGCTGCCGTCATTTATCGCGACGAACCACTGACCGTTAGGACATTTAAACTGGTTGGCTACGTTGTTGATACATATTAAACCAGCCTGGCAATCCGTTTCGTCGTTAGCGAATAATATCACAGTTGGATCAATTGAAGCACACAAAGCTGAAATAGTAACACAATATTTTAGTTATTAATGGTACACATGACCGACAGACGTATTTTAAATATTTCAAAAGAAAGCATCAGTTGCTTCCAAGTAAAGGCCGCCTTTTGTTTTTAATGGAGCTGTAGGTTGGTTTAAGATATTTTCCTTCAAATCCTGGTTCCAGGGTACAAATCCTGCTAATGCCTGATTATTTTTCTCGCATCTAACAAAAGAAAGCCTCAATAATGAATGCCCCATATAGTTTACAGACCTCCAATGGTTCATCTTGTAGTTAGTACACTTGTTGAATTTAAAAGGAGTCATATTCTATAATATTGTTTTTATTTGTTAACAAAAGTTTTATATTTTGACTTCCCATCATTAGATGGCTATTATGCATATAGTAGCATAGTATATTTTATACGTAACTACTAATTATTGTTACTAACTTTCAAAGGAAACATCATTTTCCTCAGTAGTTAATTCAACATGTCCATCGTAGTGAGTACCGGGTCTTGGTTCGTATTCGTGTTTGGTTGTTGGTTCTTCAGTTGTCTCAATGTGACCTTCGTAGTGGGTACCGGGTTTAGGTTCGTATTCGTGTTTGGTTGTTGGTGCTTCGGTTGTCTCAGTGTGGCCCTCGTAGTGGGTACCGGGTTTTGGTTCGTATTCGTGTTTGGTTGTTGGTGCTTCAGTTGTCTCAGTGTGACCGTCGTAGTGAGTACCGGGTTTTGGTTCGTATTCGTGTTTGGTTGTTGGTGCTTCAGTTGTCTCAGTGTGACCGTCATAGTGAGTACCGGGTTTTGGTTCGTATTCGTGTTTGGTTGTTAGTGCTTCAGTTGTCTCAGTGTGACCCTCGTAGTGAGTACCGGGTTTTGGTTCGTATTCGTGTTTGGTTGTTGGTGCTTCAGTTGTCTCAGTGTGACCTTCGTAGTGGGTACCGGGTTTTGGTTCGTATTCATGCATGGTTGTTAGTTGTTGACCATATCCGTTACATTCACGCTCAACAGTACCGGCATATGGACAAAAACTTCCGCTGCCGTCATTTATCGCGACGAACCATTGACCGTCAGGACATTTAAACTGGTTGGCTACGTTGTTGATACATATTAAACCAGCCTGGCAATCCGTTTCATCGTTAGCGAATAATATCAAAGTTGGATCAATTGAAGCACACAAAGCTGAAATATAGTAACACAATACTTTAGTTATTTAAGGTTACACATGATAGACGTATTTTAAATATTTCACAAGAAAGCATCAGTTGCTTCCAAGTAAAGACGGTCTTTTGTTTTGAATGGAGCTGTAGATAACTTGGTTTAAGATATTTCCCTTCAAATCCTGGTTCCAGAGTACAAATACTGCTAATGCCTGATTATTTTTTTCGCATCTAAAATAAGAAAGCGGCTATAAATCCTCATAACGAATGCCACATATAGATTACAGACCACCAATGATCTTGTAGTTAGCACTTGTTGAATTTAAAACGAGTCATATTCTATAATATTGTTGTTTATTTGTTAACACAAGCTTTAAATTTTAACTTGACATCATTGTGTGCATATTCGAATGCGAATAGTTTCAAAATATATTTTATACTTAACCACTAATTATTGTTACTCACTTTCAAATGAAACGTCATTTTCCTCAGTAGTTATTTCAACATGTCCCTCATAGTGAGTACCGGGCTTCGGTTCGTATTCGTGTTCGATTGTTGGTGCTTCGGTTGTCTCAGTATGACCCTCGTAGTGGGTACCGGGTTTGGGTTCGTATTCGTGTTTAGTTGTTGGTGCTTCAGTTGTATCAGTGTGGCCCTCGTAGTGGGTACCGGGTTTTGGTTCGTATTCGTGTTTGGTTGTTGGTGCTTCAGTTGTCTCAGTGTGACCCTCGTAGTGGGTACCGGGTTTGGGTTCGTATTCGTGTTTAGTTGTTGGTGCTTCAGTTGTATCAGTGTGGCCCTCGTAGTGGGTACCGGGTTTGGGTTCGTATTCGTGTTTGGTTGTTGGTGCTTCAGTTGTCTCAGTGTGACCCTCGTAGTGGGTACCGGGTTTCGGTTCGTATTCGTGTTCGGTTGTTGATGCTTCGGTTGTTTCCTCGATTATCACAGATGTAGGTTCATATTCAAGTTTTGTCGTCGTGTATTGCAAATTTGTAGGGTGGTCGCATATATTTTCTGCTTCATTGAACACTAATGACCATGGGCAAAGCATTAGCCAAAAACGCCCTGTCTCAGAACATTGATAATATGTTGATCTATCGTATGGGTTAGAATATAGTCCCGCTTTGCCGTCTTCAGGACATACGAATGCTACAAAAATAATTGAGTTAATTGAAATGAATTTTAAGTATAGGGCAGAGGTGGGAATTTCTCTTCTTAAATTAACCTAAAAGCCTAATAAAACCTATCGTTTTTCAACACCAGTTGTTAAATCCATGCCTTCGGTACATCCCCATACACAAAGCCTAATACATTCTGATGTAAGGAAAATATACATTATTTTTTGAATATTGTATTTTGCTGGGCCCTAGAGGATAGCAAAGATAGGTAAAGAAGAAATATATAACAAATAAAATATTAAAGTAAACTAAGCCTGTTGTATCAACTTTCCAATTCAAAATTAGAATGAAAAGTCATCGTACCAATAGACCGTCTGTTGCGCTAAGCCTCGTCCCCATGGTTGCCAAGGTACCACAACACGACAGCGTGTGTTTTTAGGACAAGCGCGTATTCCTGGCCCAGAGATGTTAAAGTTAATTGACATTCCCAATGGTCCATTAAAGCCAGGCTCCGGGAGAGGGGGGGGGGGCTAGCCTAGGCCTATCCTTTCCCCTTTTGGTTCCCCCTGTTTTTTTTTTTTTTTTTTTTTGTCAAATATGGCTTTTGTGTCTTAGAAACATCAGTTGTACCTGGATTTTACAGATGCAAAATACCCTTCCTATATTCTTCGCATAGACCCTTACATTTACAACCAAATGTATCTTTTAGTTATTGAAAATTTAGTTGTCTGTGTATTATTGGAATTTAATACATTATGTGCATTTTAACAGTCAATTTTTAATTGTTGATGAGTTATTGGCTTACGGTCATCTTTGGGTCGTGTTGGCCTTGCTGTTGTCACGGGTCGTTTACTTGTAGCGGATTTCATCTCAACGTCATTCTTTTCTGTGGTGGGTGTTAATTCATATTGACATGCATTTGTCGGTGGATCAAAAACTAGACCGGGTGGACAATCCATGTGGTGAATAAAACCATGTACACACCAATAGAACTTATTTGGATTTTCACGATCTTTGTACATTCCAAAGTTCTCCTTATTTTCACAGGTAAATGCTATAAACACAATTAGTATTATATCAGTATTAGCCCATCGATAAGTTTTTATTTTAGCGTTGTACTATTGTGATATAAAATCCACTATACACTATGTCTATCCAACCCTAGCCATCAGCGCTAATTCGGCAGATTAGTGGTCATGAGACAATTAAATCTGGAGTGCACCAAACGAATATTTTTTTTCATAAGTGATCCAAACGTTTCTGGGTAGTTTTACCATGGACCTATCTTATTAATAGGTCCATGGTTTTACAGTAGGCCTATATGTACCTTAACGGTAAGAAAGAGGCCTATATACTTGGGAAGGTTTACACTTATAAGGCAATATAAACAAAGATAATAATAGTACGCGAATATATGAACATAGCATAGGCCTATAATGTCATAATCGTATTCATCAAAGCTTTTTTAATTTATGGGATATTTCTTTTGAGGAAAAAAGTGTCTGGTGAATCTCTGCAACTACTCGTTATCAAGACTAGTGTCATATAACTAATCCACATTAAGAATTGATTAACCAACACCGTTATTTTGTATATTAAACACTTAATTTAGGAAGAGATGACCATGTTAACTGGCAAATACACCCACCCTCGAAAACATCCTCGTATGCAAATGTCGTTTCTTCAGGGATCAAACTCGTGATCGCTGTTCCATCCTCAACATCATCATCAGTAGAAACTTCGGTAAAAGTAGTAACTGTATCTTCTTCGTTAAAACTGGGATAGTCGCAGTAGCCTCGGTCCTCGTAGTAAATGAGGTAGGGAGGGTTACATCTCTGTGCAAACGCAATGGGGCCGACACAGGTGAAGAAATATGATGGATCAACGGGGTCGGCGTAATAAACATCCCGTATTTTACCAGTACAATCATAACCTGGAATTATGTGTAGATTACGATAATGAAAAAAGATAATAATAATAATAATAATAATAATAATAATAATAATAATAATAATAATAATAATAATAATAATAAATAATAATATTATTGTAACAACAGTAATAACGTTACTGTTCAAGTGATGATAATGATGATTCTCTTTACCAGTTACGGTATTATCCCGTAGTACCAATTTAGCCATATGCCTACGTCCTCTATACACTTTAGCCATAAATGTGAATAAACTTACTTCTTTGTGCAGCGGGAGTTGTCGGCATACTTACTACATTTACTGCTGTAATATAAATTTAAAAGAATCTTTAGGTCAAATAATCTGTCTAGTTCAGTTATGACAATACAATACGTTAGGTGAGCTTAAGTTGACAAAATCAAATCGAGTGTCATACATGCTCATAAGAAATTCAAATGTGCTTATCAATGTATCACCATTAATTTGATTTCAAATTGTTTTCGTCAGTTTACCTTTACAGTATAAGCCAGCACATAATTCCACTTACCTATGAGATGCACCAGCATTAAGGCATTTCGCAGACGGTCGTCCATGTCGAACGTGTACAATTTTTTACAACGAATGTATGCGGCCTATGTTTAACTAACAAATGATCATGTATTGTGAAACCACGAAGAAAGGCCTTTACTGAATATACTACCGGTGACCAAATGTCCAGTGCGACTTCGTAAGTTCAAATAATCCATTGGTATATATAATCCTTGCAGACATACCAACGGCACATAACATGTTGCTAAGATCTACAAGAAATACCAGGTATTTCTAGATTATCTGAAATCATAGTGTGGTATTATTGTTAAAGCATGGAAACCAAGCCTGATTCAGTCTAGGATCACTTGTAAAGCTGTTGCATTGTTTATGGATCATTATGATATTGTGTCAATTTTCTATCACGTGCAATTCACCCAAGCCATCGTTGGAATGGACGAGTGTAAACTGATAAACGGTGTTCCTGTCGATGTGCACAAAGACATTTTTACGACGTCATGAGCGAACTAAGATTATGTACTTCAGCTTATCTTTATTTAATCCAAGATTCAGGACAAGGATTAAGAGTATTCATTTTCTCGATGCCGAAAGGTCTCAGTTATTGTCCATGCACCATGGAAACTTGTGACGTCACAACAAATACTACTTGACATAATGTTAAAAAATACCTTTAATATACATGGATTTTATATAGTGATGCCAAACGACTAGGGTCTTAATATATATGCTAAGGAAACACAAGTGTAGGGTACTACAGGGACAGTTATTGTCCATGCACCATGGAAACTTGTGACGTCACAACAAATACTACTTGACATAATGTTAAAAAATACCTTTAATATACATGGATTTTATATAGTGATGCCAAACGACTAGGGTCTTCATATATATGCTAAGGAAACACAAGTGTAGGGTACTACTAAAGCTGATTCTGTTAAGCTGTTGCTACTATTACTACCACCACTACTACTACTACTACTAATTCTACTACTAATAGGCCTACTACTCATGGGCGTCGTTCCGTGGGGACAAAGGACACGTCCCCCACATTTCAAAGGGGCGGGGGAGGGTGGAAGACATTATATAAATTCCACCCCGCACATTTCCCCAATCTTCTATAGGCCTAGTTAAAGCCCCACATTTCAAAGTTGAAAGAACAGCAACAATTACGAATGACTGTCATGAATTTGTTCACAAATCTATTTCGACTTCTCAATCTCGCCGATATATATAAAACCATAAAACTTTATTTCATCTCGAAAAATAAAAGCACAAAAAGTACAAATAAACTTGTTCGATTAAAATAATCGTTCTTCCACAAGATCGCGAAAAATTACATATAAAAACATTAAAAATATCAAAGCATTAAAAAATTCAAATTACAAAACAGTAAAATACACTACCGGTACATTTTTTGAAAATCATTTACTAATAAATTATGACTACATGATAATGATAACTGGTACATCAACAAATGCGATCCTTGTCTTGTGTGATCGTAAATTAGACCGTAGATGTATTTCCACTCACAATAGTGCAGTCCCCCCCCCCTTGCCGGAAGAGAAAATTATATTCAAATTTAAGTCTGAGAGTGTCAACCTCGGTGGGTCTGAGGTGATCTATAGACCCTCCATCATAATTTGTATTCCTTAAAACCAAGTACATACGACTTATGCTAGAACGTTTGAGCTTCTGGGGGATTTTCCAGGCCCGTATCCAGGGGGGTGTTTATGGTTCCGGAGAACCCCCCCCCCTTTTTTTTTTAGCAAATCCCCCTCTTTTCTGGCGAAACCCCCTCTTTAAATTTCCCAAATAAGTCCTCCAACCCAACTAATGCACTGCAGACCCACCATGACACAGGCATTTTCAAACATACCGTATTTGCGTTTATAGCATTATTTAGACCCATAAAGCACAAAAATCCTCTTGCTTTGGGGGTTTCGCCGACCCCACCGGGACTTCGACTGTGGACCTCACGCCCAGAAAACACCCCCTTGGAAGAACTACTACATACTATCACTACCACCGCCACTACTACTACTATTACTACTGTAGTACTATCACTTTAAGAAATTTTGGCATAGGTCCTATTTTTAAAGATATGCCGGGCCCCTTGAATCCGCCGCTGTTTTACCTTTTAACAATCAAAACACTGAACCAGATTAAACCAAATGTGCGACAGAGAACAATTGTCAAATCTTACTCACATTAGTTCTGCATGATGCATCCGACATGGATGATAAAATAACATTCTCACTGACCCTATAAATCAGACATGATCTTGAAGTGAGTACACTTAATTCCCGATTAGCAACTCTTCTATTTCTGAAGATGGCCTATGAATGAAGCACAGTATTCAGTAAATCTCAAAACAAAGTAGTCTATTTAAACATCAATAAAATAACAAAACACATTGAATACACATTGTGTATTAAAACTTATCTATGAAAAATATGTATGTTGTTAACTTTGATTAGGTGAAGTTCATTTTGATAATTCAATTCAATATTTACTCAGCCACCAAAACATTTACCTGTAAGTACCATATATGTTATTAATTAAAATCATTATTAAAATTTTGAGATGCATGTTGTTACGCCATGGTATGGTAGATTACCGTACCAGTGGCGTCACGTCCGGGCGCTGACGGGGGCCTCGACAAAAAAATATAATACTGCAATATCATATCGGACGTGGCCAACAATAATTTTTTTAGCCTTATTGTTAAAATATTGATATATTAAAATATTTCATATATTTTGATAATAAATAATTACTAATAATTTTATTGATGAAACGCCCGGCATTTTAGGCGTTGTAAATGGGTGAACAGTCAGATTAGTTTCTTTGATAGCGCCACATAAATAGTATATTCAGTGACACACGTATGTAAGCCCTGTCTCTTATACACATCTAGATGTGTATAAGAGACAGATATGTGTGTGTGTGTGTGTATGTGTATATACCTGTATGTGTGTGTGTGTGTACTGTATACATGCCTGTACATATATTCGTAGCCTCAACCTCTACCATGAATTTATTAGTTTTATACATGTAATGTATTAATTGTTGCGCTATAAGACACAAAAGCATATTTTATGAAACTCGGGAACAAATTTTTGAATATTTCAAAAGTCAAAAGGGGCGTAGCCATCCTTTTCCACCCCGCCCCTCCCCCCCCCCATCAGTTTTTTAAATATTAAAAAAAATCAGTATCTCATTTACCGTTCCCGAATTTTTCGTCAAATTATGCTTTGTGTCTTAGAAAAATCAGTACAACATATCATTTTTTTTCCATCCGGAGCTTGGTTTAAACCCGGTTATACAATTCATATACTGTAGAAATATGTATATGACAAATAAAACAACTGAATTGAATTGAATAGCATAGTGTTATCATTTTATCAGACAAACTTCATACGTTACATGACGCTCAGCTAACAAATATTCCCGACCGACTGATCGAACTTGACTTCAAAATTTTGTCACATTTTTGTTGCTAGCGATAACTTCCAGAGGGCGCTATTTAAGTAAAATTACAGCAATTTTGGCATGGAGCTCCATGCTCCATGGAGGTATAAAGAGGTATAAAAAAATGCATGCTCTAAGCTACTGTACTGAATTGAGTCGCAACATCCTGTGACCATGGCACGTGTATTGTCAATACCATATTAAAATGTATTATCACCGTTTCACATAATATCGGTCAATTCAGAGACTGATAAGCACAACCACATACTGGTATTACTAAATGATAACCTTAAAAATATCGTGCGACCGACAAACTTAGTAAATCAAACAATTTACCTCCTTCAGAGAGATTATAAGAACAAAATAACAAAATCTGTTATATAATCTATTATATATATAATATGTGTGTGTCATCGTCATGTCACGTATATAATTTTATATAGGCCTACATATAAAGTTATATAAGAAGGCCCAGAAGGGTTTTTTTACACTCAGATTCTTATTACGTTCAAAAATATATGTATATAAAAAACATTGGCATAGACAAATAAAAATATGGATTGATATTGTTGTGTAATACAGTCTACATAGACAATATACAGGTAGTTCTCCTCCACTCTTTCTCAACCTCTTTGAGATGCCTTGCGGTGGTGTAGGATATACGCATTATGCATACTCTACACAACTACACAACGAAAACTCAAACGAGTGAATAATGCAATGAGAATAACATTAAAATCAATAAAATCACCCAAAGGCAATATTGTCTCGATTGTAGGTTTATGAGTCATATTAATTGTCTTTGTGTCTCGAAGAAGCTCAGGAAACGTCAACACTCCTGGGAAGATACTACGTTTTGTGGCAACTTCCGTTAAGCCCTGTATAATTTTATCCTGTGTATAATAATTGAAAAAATATGAAAAAAACGGCAAAACAATCTACTACGTGGTATCTAAATCAAAGTTTCCAACAGCCAAACGAATATAATTACATAAGTACACAAACATTATTCCATGATTTAGCGCCGAATCCATCAAAGTAATATTACTGCTCAGTCTCTGTCCTAAGCTTTAGATTTAGAAAGTTGTCTGCTCAAACAGCTTCCAGGATAACATAATATTGAAAGTTCGATGTGTGTAATAAAAGAACGGCAATTTGACTGGAGTCTGGAAATGCCTTGTACATTTCATGACACATTTAAGAGCACAAAGTAAACTTTTAGTATTACAGTATCATTATTAACAGTAGTTAAAAAGAAGCCAGAGAATCGCTGTTTTGGCATCGCATTGCGAAAAGTTTCAATTTATATATAATAGGCCTACAGGTCTAACCTTGAGTATAATTTATTTCGTGTCACGTGACAATAATATACGGTCACACTAGAGTTTCAAGCCCGGCTTGACTCACCGCGGGTGAGATTTTCGTAATGTGACCGCATCTGCACCGACTCGCGCCTGGCGTGACCTCGATCTCAATCTACCTATCTCGATCCCGGCTCAGCACCCATATTGACCCTGGCGTGACCGAGATTGACATTTCCTCGTCGGCTGT